TGGAGAATCTGATACTCACGGGTCGAACAGAGGGAAAGAGAGACAAGGGAAAACAACGCGTGTCATAGCTGGCAGGCTTAAGCAAGTGGATGACAGATCGTAGCGGAGGGAAGGAAGTTGTTGAGAGCTGCAAGGGATAGAAGGAGGTGGAGAGCCATGATCGCCTACGTCCTGAAAGAACATGGCACATAAAAAGAAAAGAAAGAATTTGACATTTGAGTTTTTGTAGCAAAGGAGTCGAATTCAACATGGTAAGGGACGCAACTCTTTCCGTCTGAAAATGTCCGGCACGCTGCAACGCACAGCAACGTACACCAAACACGGATGGAATGCCCTTCTGCCAATTTCCCCAAGCGACCTGCTTTTATGGAGCCCAGACATACCTCATTAGCATGTGTGTAACGCGACTTTGCGTGACTGCACGAGACCGTGAATATTAAAAGTCATGGACGCCACATTGGATCTTTTCTTTCCTTTCTCAACCCAGAGGCCAGACAGACGCGAGGGCGTTGGGGAGGTAAACCATTTCTATTTTCCCCACAGTTTTATAATGTATTTGCCGGTCGGGGCCTCAAAGTGGTAATCCTACCCAAAAGGGCAGTAGCGCAAAAAATAAGTATTTTTTTGAAATATATGAATATTCAAAAACTTATTAAAGGACTCTCCCTTGATTTTCGTAACTTAGTAAAATAATATTGTTAATATTATTCGAACTATTGTCCTGATCTGTGTTGCAATATTTATCACAACGTTTCGACCATTGTACGCTCTGGCCTTCTTCAGGTGTTTGGAATGTCGAACTGAACCCTTTATTTCACTCGTTGTGGTAAACTGTTCTAGTTTCACGTGCCATGTCTCAAGGACATATGACATAGTGGATAAAAACGTTAGTTAGGTTCAGTGACAGGAGCGAAAGTGTGTGAGTTCAATACTTGGAGAACGTCCTGGGTAAGACGATAAACTGCATCCGTGTCCTGGGCAAGACGATAAACTACATCCAACAACAAGGCCTCTGATCAAGAGTTTTTGAAGAGCGTGGAACCACCTCTTAATTGCTGATGATCGCTTACAATAGTCAGAATAATGTAAATAGTATACATAATACCTCATTTCAGAAATATATTCAGATACTGAAGGACCGAAACGTTGTAATAAATATGGCGACAAAGATGAGGACAAGAGTCCGAATAATGTAAATAGTGTACATAATACCTCACCTCAGAAATATAGACAGATAATATTCTTTTTCTTTTCATTTTTTTTTTTTTTTTTTGCATATCGTCTCATCATTAAAAAGATGTTTGTTTTTAATACTGTGTATTTATTCCATCAAAATAACTGCAGTTTTTTTTAATTTTATTTAATCGTGAAACACTGAATTTTTAATAACTGGTTACTGCAATGAAAAGCAATAATGCTACAGTCTTTAAGTAAACATCACAAAGCAAAACATGGAAGTTTTCAAGAGAAATATCCGAACCTTTATATCTCAAGATTAATTTTATTGATGAATGTAGAGCTACATTGGTAGAACGTTGATTGCTTGAAATTCTCAACCCCTGCTATTTATACGTCAACAGGGGGGAGATGTAGAATTTTTTTTTCGTTTATTATTGTAAGCAATATAATTACAACCCTTCAAAACTGATAATGGCGTTCAGATTAATGTAGTTTATTTTTTCAATCTCTTGGACAAGATGCTGCTTTGAGAGTTAAAAGTCACAACCAATATAATTTTTTTATTCCAGTAAGAGAGTGCACTTTCACATTCTTTAAAACTATTGCCCACCTTGCCAAATAAATGTTCAAATACACTCATTTTGTCGAATGTCTTCTAACTTCTTCAGATATTAATATGCAATGTTTCCATATGTCAGCGAACGCTAGACAATCTCCTAACAGCTGAAGAGACTTGAAGCAACAGAAATATCGCTCTAGAGTAGGATGTTAAGAATACCACAGACCGAACATTCTAACAACGACGAAGTTTTAGAAGAAAACTAGGAAACAAAAAAGACATTTTAAATTGACAGCAGGAAGAGACAAGGGCATAAAAATAATGAGGAAAGATGGCTTGGTAAATATGATACTCCCAAGATAGACTGAATTCAAGAGGGACGGAGGCAAACAACGTATATCCTTCCCAGCGAGTAAATGAATAGCGTAAAGTTTAGGAGAGATAACAAAAAGAGGAAATTGTGGAGAGCCATTATCACTAACGTCCTGAAGTGACACGGCATATAGAATCTTTTTTTTTTTACGTAACGTTATTGTTTTTAAACCCCTGGACTTCGTTTGTTAATATCAGCGAGCGGGTTTGTGAATTTGAAGGTTTTCCACGAGCGTGGATATACTCCTCGAGATAAAGAGAGAGACTCGCTGTCTTTCCCCTCTCGAGTTGGGCGCTTATATACCTTCCAGTTTTTGTGTGATCCCGGGTATGCACATCACATGCGTAGCTGGGTCGACCGAAGGAGATCCGATGGTATTCCAGTATTATTTCAAACTTAATATATTTAATGAAAATTTCGAAAATACGATCAAATAAATTAAGCAATAGAAATGTCACATTTTATTCTCTTCTGGTCGAATAGTCATAGGTCTTTTAAAAGTGTAACGGAAATTAAAAATAAAAGTGCAACACTCTTTTTAGTTTCTTTGCATTTTCTTTTTCTTGCATTTTATTATTTCGCTTCGTAATATTAACACGCACCTTTCTTTCTTTTTTTTTCTTCTGTCTTCTCTTCCATTCTTTCTTTCTTTCTTTTTCTTTCTTTCTTTCTTTCTTTACTTTTCTATTCCATTGTTAATTTCTTTCTTCATTTCTTTCTTTCTTTTTTGCTTTCTTTCTTTCTTTCTTTCTTTCTGTTTTATATACTTTACAATCGCCTTCCTCTATTTTTCAGTCATGTATTTCATTCATTTATACTCTCTCTCTCTCTCTCTCTCTCTCTCTAATTCTTTTGGCTTCGTTTTTTCTTTCCTTTTCTTTTTCTTTCTTTCTTAGTTGCTTTCTTTTTTAATCTTTACAAGATTTTTTTTCTTTCTTTAACTATATTTTCTTTCTTTCATTCATTCTTTCTTTTTTTCTTACTTTCTTTCTTTCTGTATTTCTTTCTTTCAATAATTCTTTTTTCTTTCTTTCTCTCTTTCAACGATTCCTTTCTTTCTATATTTCTTTTTGCTTTCTTTCTTTCTTTCTATATTTCTTTCTATACAGTTTTTCTTTCTTTCTTACCATGATTCCTTTTTCTTTCTTTCCTTCTTTCTTTCTTTCTTTTTTCTTTCTTCCCATGATTCCTTTTTCTTTCTTTCTTTCTTTCTTTCTTTCTTTCTTTCTTTATTTATTTATTTATTTCTCTTTCATTCTTTCTTCTTTTCTTCCCATGGTTCCCTTTTCTTTCTTTCCTTCTTTCTTTCTTTCTTCCCATGATTCCTTTTTCTTTCTTTCTTTCTTTCTTTCTTTCTTTCTTTCTTTCTTTCTTTTTCATTCTTTCTTCTTTTCTTCCCATGATTCCCTTTTCTTTCTTTCTTTCTTTCTTTCTTTCTTTCTTTCTTTCTTTCTTTCTTTCTTTCTTCTAATGATTCCTTCATATCTTTCTTTCTATATTTCTTTCATTATTTTTTCTTTTTTCTTTCTTTCTTTCTTTCTTTCTTTCTTTCTTTCTTTCTTTCATACTTTCTTTCAAATATTCCTTTATTTTTTTGTATATTTCCTTCTTCCTTTTCTCTTTCTTTCTTTCTTTCTTTCTTTCTTTCATGCTTTTCTTTTTTCATTCCTCCTTGATATTATCATTTCATTCTTCTATTTTTCCTCTTAAGCTTCCTTCATTATATATGGTTGTTTTGCTTTCTTAAGTTTGTCAAATTCTTTTTCTCTTTCTTCCTTCCTTTCACCATTGAGGGTCTCACAGCACACACACACACACACACACACACACACACACACATATATATGTGTGTGTGTGTGTGTGTGTGAGAGAGAGAGAGAGAGAGAGAGTATGTGTAGATAGATAGATAGATAGATTTGTAAAATTTTTATATGGATATTAACGTACAGTGACAGATAGATATATAGTGATATAGATAGATAGATAGATAGATAGATAGATAGATAGATAGATAGATAAACAATCCATGATAGATAGATTACATGCATAGATAGCAGAATGTATAGAAAAATGAGGTACACGATTAGATAGATAAGTCACATATTTACAATAGAAAGATAGATAGAATCAAAAGTGTATTATATATATATATATATATATATATATATATATATATATATATATATATATATATATATATATATGAACCAACGTTGATAATATAGATAGAGAGATAAAAAACAACAGTGATAGATAGATAGATAGATATTAACAGAATGAGATAGATAGACAGATAGATAGATAAACAATCTGTGATTGATACATTCCCATGCATAGATAGCTGAATATATAGACAGATGAGGTACATATTTAGATAGATAAAGGTACATATTTACAATAGATACATAGATAGAACCAAAGTGTATTATATATATATATATATATATATATATATATATATATATATATATATATATATGAACCAATATATATATATATATATATATATATATATAGATATATGAACCAACGGTGATAGATAGATAGATAGATAGATAGATAGATAGATATAGATAGATAGATATATGCATAGATAGCTAAATACATAGAGAGATGCTGTACATGCTTAGAAAGATAAGACACATTTACAATAGATAGATAGATAGATAGATAGATAGATAGATAGATAGATAGAAATTACACTTTTCTATTCACTTGCTCTCTCTCTCTCTCTCTCTCTCTCTCTCTCTCTCTCTCTCTTATTCTCTTATTTACGTTTTTCCTTATCTGAACTATCCCTAAAATAATTTTCGCTGTTATTCGTAAATCAGTTGGAAAAACAAGCCATATCTCGCGGATGAAATCCGAAGCTTCTCCACCGATAAATATTTTGCCACCGCCCCCACCTTCCCCGATGATTCCATTATTGAAGAACGTCTTTAGAAATGTCAGAAACCCTTATTTGCGTTTTCCTTCAAGTAGCTGTTATTTTTTTTGTTTTATTTTCAAATGCATGCAGCGTCGCCACGTATTATGTCTGCACAGATCAATACCGTTTTTCCAGTGCTCCCGGCCATAAGAAAAACATGTTTATCTGTCCTTGACCAAGCATGAGCGCCTGGAAGGACAGCGGGTTCGTAAATCTGATCTCCGTTAATTCGGCTCTGCACCTGGTAGCCATTCAGTAATCCGTATAGAGAATCAAACGCTGTAACATTTTTTTTCCAAAGAAAAATGGTACGCAAACAAATTACCTTTTTTTGTTAAATATATAGAATGAAAAGTGAACGAATAAAATAGACTAATTAGACTAGTTTTATTTGCTAAGGTACTGATCGTCGTCAGATAATCATTTTCCTAATCCCAAGCAAGGCAGTAAGAAGCATAGGCGCTACTAGAACTGAAAGGAAATAAAAATACTTTAGAAGCAATCGAAAAACCAATCCTAAAGAGGAAAACAAATGATAAACCTCCACTTCTGTTCCAAATACCGTGGAAATGTGTAAACCGGACGATAGGCGAAGCTATCCACTCCAGTTGAAGTAAAATAAATTGTAAAGAATATTCCAGAGTTTCGGTGGAGACGTTTAGAATTATATAGATAGATAGATAGATAAGGCACTGGCATAAATAGATAAGGCATTGACATAGATAGATAGATAGATAGATAGATAGATAGATAAGGCATTGGCATAAATAGATAAGGCATTGGCATAGATAGATAGATAGATAGATAGATAGATAGATAGATAGATAAGACACTGGCATAAATAGATAAGTCATTGGCATAGATAGATAGATAGATAGATAGATAGATAGATAGATAGATATTAAGGCACATGCATAGATAAATAGACTTTAGAAGGAACCGGAAACCCAATCCTAAACAGGAAACAGGGGATAAACTCCTACTGCTGTTCAAAAAACTTTAGAGGAGTGTGAACCGGACAATAAGCAAACCTATCTACTCCTATTATTCTTATTACTGTGTAAAGGTAACGTGCGATAATATCATGTGAGCATCTCATTTGTTGGGCCAATTCCCTAATGAATTGTCGCCGATCTTCGTGGATGGGTTCGTTTAATCCGTCCACATTGAAATGAACAGGTTGGCTGAAGCTGTAAAAAGGACTGACCATTTACCAAGCATGGTGTGAATTTGAACCCCAATAGATGTTACAACTAAAGCGCCTCAAAACGTTCATCGTGATTATATGATATATATATATATGAGTTGGGCGCCCCGTTAAAGCGGGTTAATAGACGATCGGGCAAGCAGGCAGGTCGGCTGAGCGGCGACCGGACGAACGAGCGCGTGCCCAGCGGCTGCAGCTCGACGGTATAATTGGTGTTAGCGGCCTTCAGATTCGAACTGGACGGTGGCGGTGCTCTTTCGGGGTCGAACGTGCCAGGCTGTACAAGCAGGGGGTGCATTCCCAATTCTGTAAGAAGGGACTAAGCATAAACTACAAGAAGACAGAATCCGTGGTCATCAGTAAAAAGATGACCCCGAAATGCGATTTGCAGGTCGGGGTCAATAAAGCAGGTGCCGAAGTTTAAATATCTGAGAAGTGTTCTGACAGAGGACGATAAATGCGACAATGAGATCCGAAGACGTATTGGGTTTGCCAAAGACGCATTCCAAAAGCTAGGCAGAGTATTACAAGACTGGATGATTTCTTTGGTAACAAAGAAAAGAGCACTGAACTGTTAAGTGTTATTATCTGTCCTCCTTTACGGAAGCGAACGTTGGACGGTCTCCTCAAACATGGAGAAGAGACTCGAGGCAACGGAGCTGTTGTTCTACAGAAGGATGTTAAGGATACCACGGACCGAACATGTGAGGAACGATGAGGTTTTGAAGAGGATACAAACAAGGAGGAAGCTTATACTTAACATCAGGAAGAGGCTGTTGACACTTCTGGGACACGAAATGAAAAAGGAGGGCTTGGAGATTCTGATACTCACAGAGCAGATAGAGGGAACGAAAGACAAGGGAAAGCAAAGCGTGACCTACATAGTGGGCTTAAGAAAGTGGATGACAGAACAGGGAGAATTAGCAAAAAGAGAAAACTTTTTGAGAGCTAGAATAGATAAGGGGAAGTGTAGAGCCATATTCGCCTGCGTCCTGAAGAGACACGGCGCATAAAAGAAAAAAAGAATGGACGGGGGAAGGCGACCAGGGGACTGAACGTGGCGTGAGGGCGAGCATCCCGCGCGAGCCGACGAGCGTTGGTCGACAAATCGGCCGACGCGCGTACACATCGCCTTTGGCCCCCGTTCGAAAGCGAACGTCTGGTTCGATTCTCACTTCGTTTTACGTGTCGCGAATGATCGGGAATTCGTTTCGTTTCGTCTTCGAAAAACGTTTTTGACTCAACTGTAACTACTGGAAAAGTTTTATATGTGAACCTTATTTTTCTTTTTTTTTCTTTTTTTTCTTTTTTTTTCTTTTTTTCTTTTCTTTTTTTTCTTTCTTTTTTTTTTTTTTTGGTAACGTATCTCTGCAACGATTTTCGGTGCAGAAGAACATAATCTAATAAACGCGATTTTTCTGTAAGGTGACAAAAACCGTCACTGGCTCTGCTTCCGAAGAGATAAAAGGATGCAAAAGACGAAGTTAAATATCAGAGGGGTTTCGACTATTCTCTTATCGAGTCTTCGTCTCAAACGCAATCACTTTCTGCTTGCATATGCATCAAGGAATTATTTTATTATAAGACGGTGCTGCGAGGCGTCAAGTCTGGAATATCTTCGAAAACGGAATCCACGAGAGGGAAGACACGTATACAAATAAGAGATATTTTCGACTTCTAAATACAGTTCACGTTGAGATAACTTTCCGTTGCCCGTTTCTTACCTTTCGCATAAGGAGAGAGCGATCCGGTAGCGATTAAAACTGTGTACATTCCAACTTTTCCACGCCGTTGAAGACTTATCTTTTTAATAAAAGCAACAATAAATGGCTGGTTTATATCGTTAGGTATACTGAACAGTGTTAATACTAATCCAACCTAGAAATTAACCCATATTTCAACCACATTACTTGGAGATCAAATATAGTAACGAATGAATTGTTGGGCTTATTGATGCGTTCATATTGTCTAAAATCTATTTTTATAATTTCTTTTAGTGTTGAAAATTTCATCAGTCGACCATAACATGATTGCAATATTATAAGTAAAATTATATATAAAGTACAATGAAATACAGTTCCGAAAAGGTTTGTGTTCTATAGTCATAGGAAAAAACGATGAATCGATTCGGGCGAACTTTACGCTAAACCTCTACTCGTATTTCACGATATCTAAATGCTTCTTGTTTAAATACAAACCTAAATCAACAATTCCCTGGTTTGAAGACTGCACAATAATTTAAAAACTTGGGTCAACCATATGGATTTTGAAGCATTGCCTAAAAATTGAAGGTTTCTTGTCTTTTTCAAAATTCGATCACTTCAGGCCAGACTGAATTTCAATTCTTGAAGGGTTTAAATATATATTTAATAATAATAATAATAACCAGATTACCCCACGACATTTCCTAAAGTTTTCTAAAGATTTTAGCTCTTGCTGGCTAATGGTAATCTCAAAGATGCTGAATTCTATAGCTTAAGTAAGAATATCTCTAAAAAGTTCCTTTCATATTGTCTGATAAGCTTAATAACATTATCATTGAAAGACGAAAGGAAATCACCATATTGATACATGTTTTAATCCTATCTAAGCTTTCGGCTTATATAAGCCATTATCAATGATGACAATTACATTTCAATATATCAAGCAATACACGGACAAAACAATAATGATAGTCTGTGAAATCTTGCAGGCATTAATTTCAACTCTTCTTATTAATAACTTCAGTGTTTCTTAGTAGGTAAGACGGTGTGCTGAAAAGTCCATCGGCAAAAATGAAGGAGTGATTCTAGAGCTTTGAAATCTTGCATGCATTCATTTCAACTCTTCTTACTAATAACTGCATTATTTCATAACAAGTACGAAGGTGGACTGAAATGTTCATAGGCTGAAAATGAAGGAAATGAAGAGTTGAAATTAATGCCTGCAAGATTTCACAGACTATCATTATTGTTTTTTTCCGTGTACTGCTTGATACATTGAAATGTAATTGTCATCTTTGATAATGGGTTATGTAAGTCGAAAGCTTAGATAGGATTAAAACATGTATCAATATGGTGATTTCCTTTCGTCTTTCAATGATAATGTTATTAAGCTTATCAGACAATATGAAAGGAACTTACTTAAAATAAATAGACAAAATTTATCTATATTATTAATGAAGCATGCATCAGGAAAAATTGCTGCCTATATATATATATATATATATATATATATATATATGTATGAAGAAAAATATACAGAAAAAACAAACAAAAATCTTAATATGCAATTATGCTGTATTAATGTTAATATAATGTCAACGTCGGACGTTTCGGTCTATTTAAGACCATCTTCATGGACATTTTCATTTATACATAATTAACATTAGAACATATAAAAATTCGACACAAAAAGACGATGGACATAAGAGCACAACTAATCCAAACAGATAACTGAAATTTTTATATAAGATCAGCGTTCCGTTTAAATATGATCACGTCGTCGTCACGTGGGCGATGTTGTGAAAACGTATTCGAAGATGATTTCCAAATATTAAAATATTAAAAAAGTCGATTGAACTATTTTATATAAACAGTTGAAGAAATCCCTTCCGTTGATATAGGAATACGCAGAGATCAATAGATTCATATATCTTCATACAAGCTTGAAGTCCTCCACGTTACAAAATATATATATATATATATATATATATATATATACATATTGATGCATATTTAAGCATTTTTAGGCATTTAAAACAACATGCCTGGCCGTATACACAATTCCGGAAAATCTTCATTGAAAATACAATTATACTTAAACATGAAAAAAATAAACAAAAAATAAAAATTCTTAAAGCTATATACATAAAACAGTTGAAACCTAACCTGAACAAAATAAACTAAGAAATCTTCACAAATATTCTTAAATGCCTATAATTGATAACAGAAGCCATTGGTTTATAAAAACGTCTTCCCATAATTAATACTTCTCGTTTTCACTCTCGTGTCGTAATGTTTGAGGTCATGAGCTGTGGTGCGATTTTCGTTTCCAGCGTCTCGTATGCACGAGTTTGCTGTTGCTTAGAAATCTTCCATTTAAACATAAACAGACTATCATTATTGTTTTGTCCGTGTAATGATTAGTATATTGTAATGTAATTGCCATATTTGATAATGTCTTATGTAATCCGAAAGCTTAGATAGGATAAAAAAAATATGTAACAATATTGAGATTTTTTACTTCTTTTAATGATAATGTTATTAAGCTTATCAGACTATATGAAAAGTATTTACATAAAATAAATAGACAAAACTTGTTTATATTATTTACTGAAACATGTTTCAATGAAAAAATGCTGCCTAACTACACACGATATTTGTGTATATATATATATATATATATATATATATATATATATATATATATATATATATATATATAATCTAAGAAGCAACAATAATTACTATAATAGTTATAAAAATAATAATAAAATGGAAAAAAAACTAACCTTCAAATAATAAGCTTATGTAAGCCGAAAGCTTAGGAATAAAAAAATATGTATCAATATTGTGATTTTCTTTCTTCGTTTAATATTATTAAGCTTATCAGACGATATGAAAAGAATTTACATAAAATAAATAGACATCACATTTCAATATTATTTAATGAAACATGCATCAATGAAAAAATGCTGTCTAAATACACACAATATATATATATATATATATATATATATATATATATATATATATATATATATATATATATATAGTCGACTCTCCTGTCGAGTTCGACGTATGAGGGTCAAGCAGATCAGTTCCTAGGAAACTGGCAGCCCGACACCAGCGCATGAGATTTGATTATAGTGGTGAAGGTTTCGTGCAGGACCATCCACACTTTTTGAAGGGCCGAATACCGAGACCTGGCGTACTACGTGACACAAGGTCCCCAAACGACCCTCCGCAGGTTTTGAATTCAGAGTTGTCCTTCTCATAGACTGGTTGCCATCCAAGGCTATAGAACCCATTCTCTCCTGCTATTTATCCATAGCTGGAGGGAGAAGAAGAGGATTCACACCTTTCCTAAGGGTATTAGCACGTAAGTGAATGTAATGGATTCGACTGAATTCGAACTCGGCGCTGCGATTCCTCAATCCAAGCCGCTATCCATTACTATATATATATATATATATATATATATATATATATATATATATATATATATATATATATATATATATATATATATATATATATATTTTTTATAAAAAAATTATAACATAAGTATGTTATAAAATCACTACAAAAATAGCCATTCTGTTTCAACACATTCGGTGTCTTATCAAGTGATGATGTTGAAGATAAAATAAATGGTTTTAAAAGTTTCAGATTATTTAACGATCCTACACTAGGGGGAAACATTGTTACAAAAGCTAGAATAACCAATCAAATATATATATATATATATATATATATATATATATATATATATATATAATCTAAGAAAAGCAAATAATAATTATAATAATAGTTATAAAAATAATAATAAAACGAATAAAAACTAACCTTCAAATATATAATGACTTTCCTTTATCTAAAACTCTTCAAAAACATCGTATCTTCAGATATCTGCCAGCATAATTTGTACAAAAGAGATGCAGTTTTTGTTTTGTTCACATAATTGTCTAATTTGACGTTGCATTTGTTATTTTACCTCAACTGGTTTTATGTTGTTGACTTTTTTCCTGCTAGAAATATCGATATCAGGAATTTGCTGAATGCCTTCTTCATTTTGCAAATTGTTTTATTCAGACAGCCATAAGGAATGAAATATTCCTTGGTTCTCGTCTTCGTGTCTTCAGACGATGCCCAAAAGTCGGGTATCAAAATCACATCCAGGGGCTCCAGTTTGAGATGGTTGCATTCCCTCGAAAAACAGCAGTTTTCCTAATCGCCTCTCCCACACACACGAACATCTCGCACCTAGGCGTAATATTCACAAAGTCATAACATACATGACTGCTCTCACAATCTATATATTAGGTTGGTGCAAAAATAATGTCGTTTTTGACGTTAAGTTGAACGTCAAAAAACGACATTATTTTTTAGCCAACCTAATAGTAACTCTTTATATGCCCTCTCCATTCAGAACGTAAGAGGTCATGGTTCTCCACAGCTTTCTGTCTTCTGTTACACTTAGTAAAACATGATCTTTGTCTTCGCTTTTTTTTTTTAGGTTTATCGATCTTTTAGAGGCTATTTAAAGTCAG